AAGAAAAATCCCTCATGCTTATGGGAAATTTCCTGTTAATCCCACATAACAGCAGTTGCAACAGCCAAGCCACTCTCTGAGAGAGCCTCAGCTGGGTAATATTGATATCCCAAGGTGCCATTATGCATGTGCATCACACAGATGCCATTACAGACACCTAAAAAGACATCCTGTCCCGAAAACATGGTTAGGTAGAACAGTGCAAATCAAATGCAGCACAGTAACATCCTTCAAACAGACTAACCTACCACTCAGAATTTCCTTCAGCGGAGAGAACCGTAAATGAAGTTTTGAGAGTGTACTATCTATCCCCCAAATGAAGGATTTGAACATACACATACCAAATGTTACTGTGATCATTCAAAGGAAGCCTTGATGATAAGGCACATTATAAATCATATCACGCAGCCTTCTATGGAGTTTGCTTTTCTTTAAAAGACATTACACCCTGGATTGACCACTCATTAAATGGAATTATTGATGACAGCTAAACAACACCAAATATGATTCTATGATTATTTGCTACCAGTACTTCAATTTTTCTCCAACTATCTCTTGCAAGCTTTAAAAGGCTGTACATTTTTACCCTACTTACACATCACCTTTTCATTAAGTTCTACAGGAAAAGTGTTTTTGAATACAAATTTCGGCTGTCTCTTTGGATGATGCCACAGTAAGGCTTACAACATTCTGCTTTAATTGAAAAGGAATTTTTAACCAGACTTATTTTCCTCTGTTATGTCAAACTGCAGATGCCTGGTGTCCCTGCTTTCCACCCGACTGGGCTTTTCTTCTCCCCTTGTAGACAGTGTGTAATGTTTTGGACTAAAAATCCTTTACCAGTATATATGAATATACAAAATCTGGAAGCGCTGAATATATTCCACATTGTTAAATGAGTGCTAGATAGTAACAGAACCTCCCTCAAGAAGTGGGGTCTCTATTATACACTGGTCTTCATCACAAACTGGATATGATGACATTAAGCATGTTTTTCAGCCACAGGTCCTGGTTTCCCTGCTCCAGGACAAGGTTAGCTGTTCTATCCAAGTCAGAAATTCCGCACCACGCTGCATTTAAGTTTGTGCATACGTGCAAAAGGCTGTGCAATATGTGGATCACAACACTAACTATATATAATTCACCAGCTTTGCTCCTTTTTGCCTTTCCCTGCTTTCCCAATATACTCTACCTGATTTTTATGGAACAAGAGAGTGAACTCTGTTTTTCCTTAATATATTCCAAATACTTTCAATAACAACATGAGGCAAGAAAACACTAAGGAACTAACTGATAATTAGGAGTTTCGCGGAATTTGATTCTTTTTTCCCCCCAAAAGCAGTCATCTTCTCTATACTTTGTCATGAGGTGTCACTATCTCTTCAGTAATGAAGAAGGGCAAAAAGGTGACATCTAAGCTTCATTCTTTCATGATTTCTCTGCTGTGTTGAATACATTATCCCTGATGAACCTTAGAGGTGTATCATCTCTCCTCTACAATATTTTTTTTAAACATCTCATTCCCAAGACAAGAAGATGAGACAATATCTACTGCTGGCTTCTCTCACAGGCTTCAGCCTCCAGCATATCTCTTCCTTGAAATGCCTGTCCCAGCTTTTAAGATGTGAATGGACACACTGGTACAGCAAGTGTATTTCATACTTGTTTGAGCTGCTGCTTCAGCCTTAAGACAGGTGCGAGTTTGGTGCTCAACGGTCAAAGACAGCCCATCGGTCCTACCAAGGTAGTAACAATAAATCCACTGTGCCATGAAGGATATACCCAAAAGCAGGAATGCCGCACAAGATAACCACCAACTGCTCCGTAACTCTCTGGGTTTTGCCCTCACAGACAGAAGAGATCTTAGCAACCTCCACCTCCTTCCTCAGTGCTGATGAAGAATTTACTGGGCATTTAAACAACTCATTTGGTGGAAGAATGACTGCATTGTAATTAATCATGTTCTATATGTCCTGCTGTGCTTCTAGGCCTCTTATCTGCAAGCTTCAGGATGCCTCTTCCAAACACCTGTTTTGCTGCTGGCTCCTTCCTACGGTCCATAGAAGGTTTCCGTACACCCAAGCATGATCAATCTCACCTGGTTTCAGTGATTCCTCATTTGTTTTCCCTAACTCTACTTTTTACCCTACTTTTTTCCCCCCATTCTACCATTTAGTAGCATTCTTGATTTTCCTTTACTAATTTTTGCAGTTTAGTGACTCTTTTGTATGTTTGAGTAAAAAAAAAAATGAAGCCCTAGGCAGTCAATCCACCTTCACATCCCGAGAGAGGAGAAAAATGATCAATGAATCTCCAGAAGGATCTGTTAAGTCCTCACTGTTGATTAAACTAAGAAATTATTAGATTCTTGTAGAGGATCTTTGGTTACTCCCAACTGCTGAATTAGGCTGACATGCGAGTACAGCAATATTCAATTTTCTACAGCACATAACAAAGTTTTGTCAATGAAGAGGACTAAGAAAAAGCCACAATTTAAACAACTAAGCTGACAGAAACACTAGCATAGATAATGTTATACCAAGAGCAAAATCATTTTACCAACACTGTTTATTTTTCCCTGAGGACTGCCTAAATCTTCACCAGAAGAGAACTGCAGCCGTTAAACCTTCATATCCTTTAGCTATATTGTCAGCCCTTTCCATAAGTAGATTAGTCTTGTGTATTTTGTGCCCTCCCTGAGGAATAACTTTCTAAATTCAAACATGCACAGTTCTACAAGTAATTTTCTTTTTTAGTTGTTAGCAATTTCCTGGTCATTTGTGAAAAGAAAACCCCTTTTCTACCAACTACATCTAAACTTTAAAATAATGAATTTAGACAACTTTGCTTACACATTTTGAAATTCTAGTGAAGAGTTGGAGCTATACTTTCATATATGTGCAAGGCAAGTTGAACCCCACAGCAGATGTGTAAGCAAAAAAAGTATTAACTGGCATATTTTAGAAACACCTTTTATTCTAGGCTTGATAGATCTTAGAAGATGTGACAGTATGCTGGGTTTCTAAAAAGTCAATCACCATCCTTATTCCCCATTGTCTGAATCTGCTGGGTATTATCTCAGGTCTATGGTTCTGTATTTGATTTGTGTGTTCTAACAAATCAGCTCAGAATTTTGCATAAAAAACCCCTGCAAATTTAAGAGACAAGAGCAGAGATAATTTCAGCAGATATTGTTCTCTATCTGAAAACTTGTGATTGTTCATGCATGAATAGCCACAATTTTAGTTAACTTGAGAAACATGGTGATAAGTGTCATGTATTAAAGATTAGAATCTGACCTTATATGACCTCTTCCACCATCAGTTATGTACTAAGAATTTAATTTTTTTTTCTTTTAAAATATAAGAGAACAACAATAATTTTTTCTGTTTTTAAAATGAGAAGCAAACCAGGGATGAAGGGAAATTCTTTTTTATTCTGTAGAGATTAATGACATGCAAAAACCCCCTCATTCTCTGAGAAGAATGATTATCTCACAGACACAGTGGCAGAAAAGGAAAATAAAGAGTTTTCCCCAGAGTCACACATATTTGTAAATCTTTATTCCTCTTCATATTTAACTTAACTGCCACAAATGGTGATTATAATCCATCCTTTTGTAATCAAGAATATAGTTCAAGGACGAACAGATGGCAACACAGACTTGGTCATTTTTATTTTTAGAATGCTATCCTCTATGTCTGAATTTTTAGATCAATAGTCCAGCAAGCTACAGACCCTTGGTTATTACAGATTTCTGATACTGTGAGCTGTAAGCCTTGCCTCTTACTTTGCTCAGCTGTTTTATTTACACTTTGACCATGCATCCATTCAAACCTTCACACTGCTGATTAAACTTCCCAGAGAGAAACTACCACATGGATTATAAGAATTCCTTTTCACAAGGACCTGAACTCAAGATCACTACATTGTTTCACACCATGGGTCTTGCCCAAGTCTAGCAACAATATTGCATTCAAGTAGAAATCAACATGCAATAGTGCTGCTGCTTCTCTCAAAACAAAATGTTGTATTACAATTTTAAGACTGATACTGTTCCTCCAGAATCCTGATCAGTGTAATTAAACACTTGATGAACAATGCTAATCCTGTCCTCCCTTTTTTTTTTATTCTAAAATACTGGGAAGAAAAAAAGTATTTCAGCATGTGCCTAACAATCATGATACTAAAAAAAGAATGTACCACAGGTACAGTCTACCTTATCTTGAATTAATTCTACCATCTATTATCAGCATTAATCACTTTTTTCACTATAACATCTAAGCAGCAGTCAAAAGCGAGGCTGCATCATGCCATATACTATGCACAGCACCCTGCCCTACAGAGCCTGGCAGACAAACTGCAGCAGAGAAGAAAGAAAATACCAGACAGGAAAATCTTACGCTATCAGTGTTAATGAAGTTCTGTGTGTACAACTGCTTTGCTTTACAGACTTGTGTAATTGACTCCCACCACCTCACCAACTCCTACTTTCCACAGGCAATAAAATATTATGGTAAATGCATAAAAAAATCCATCTCCTCCTGTGTGTAAATTGCTCCAATTCCTGCTGAAAACAACTCAGGCACTGACAATGCATGGGTTTTGTTCTAAACATCTTTGGATAGGACCCTTTGACAGTTTCCAGGCTCAGCTACCAAAGGCTCAACTGACAGTTTTAGAGGACCTACATTAGCTGCAAGGTCTCATGAGGCTTGACACTGACTTTCCTCCTCTTGGCATGCCAGAACTTGGATCAAATCTTCGTTATACTGAGTGATTCAGCCTAATTAAACAAAACCAAACCCACAGAAGCAGAACGGATAACCAGCATTCCAAAATCAAGGGCCTGAGTTACTTAATGATACTACCTTCTTTTACCTTATTTCCTTAAGCTCCATTCAGATACACATTTTTCAAACAGCAATACCGAGAAGCTCTCTCCATTCATTTTGGGACAGGGGCTTTTTGTAGTTTTAAGTGTAAAGCAGCAAACTTACAGCATCACTTTGAGGCTGAGCGACCACAACAGGCTGTCCTGAATCACACGACTCCCGTATATTAACATGCAGTGGAATGTCTCCTGCATCAAAATACCAAGATACACATAAGTGAAGACCTAATATTTCTCAAATGTTTCTTTAGAACAGCCCTGAAGCAACGTGATATCGAATTTCAGTATACTTAATCTCTACGAATTAGCATTTAAAATGAAAACTGGTTGCAGCACAGTTTCCTTATATCCATAATAAATAATGCCAAACTATTCTGGACTTTTCATGCTCTGAATAGGAAGGACCATGCTTGGTAGTCATTTATTAGAGAAGGCAGGGCTTTTAGCCTCCAACACACAGAAAAACACAGGCTGAGATACAAATTATTTTGAGTACATTAAATAAATTGCCTGAGTTTTAGGAAAATGCACATCATGGAACTTACTCTTCAGCCTATCTCCTCACTGCATATTCTTTTCTGTGCTGTTTTAAGATTTTAATCACTGTTCAAAGACTTCTTTGAATACTAAATTTCCAAATAATAGTATTTGTTATTGTCCTTATTAGGCCTTGGATCCAATTCAAAGGTGGACAGCTATTCAGCTCATTCTTCTTTCCAACAGAAATCTTCTTTATATTCTGCTTTTATAATGAGCAGGGAAACTGTCAGAGAGGAAAGGAACGTTCTAAAGGAGAATCAATTAGCAGCCCTTTTCCATTCTGAAACATACTTTCTGAAACACAGATTTGAGCACTACAAAAAACTTGGAGGTTCTTATGTTTAGTTCACTGCTACGTAAATAATTATAAAGTGAATTGAAGATCAATTTCTTTCAGTAGAAGACAGCTACATTTTACATCATGAAGGGATGCAGACAGAACAGCCTACCTGAGTTCAACTCTGAGTGATATCAGAAACTGTATCAGTTTAATTCATACACTTTAGCAACATTTATTTAACTCAAACCAAGCCAGTATAAATTACTGAGATTCAGTGTATGCAGAAAAAGAAACATTAAAAAATTGTATGAAAATTGACAAAGTTTAAGAGAGAATAAAACAGAACCCAAAGAAAGCAGGAATACAAAAAAAAGGCCATAGTTGTGGCCACCAAACTTCAGAAGAAAAAATTTCAGAGACATGGAGCGAAAAACCATCAGCACAAAGTCTTTCTCATAAACCTTATCACAGTTTCCTTTAGGGAAAAACAAAAAGACAAGACAATCAGAAGTATAGGGAATAATAGACTACATCTGAAAGTGCTCTGGTAACTGCTAATTGTCTTCTGTCACAAACAAAAATAAATGAAGTATTCAGTAAAATTAATAGCAGCCATCTCTGAGCAAGTAGAAGGAAAATACTTTTCAATCCTGCACACTGTTACCTTGCAGAATTTGTCAGATTTTAGCCTGTCAGGTTTCAAAGGAGGACTAGATGCTTATTTAAACAAACAGAATAGCCATCTTGCAAAATATAAGCAAAATAAATTCAGAAATACAAATTTTAAATATATACATTTTATATGTGTAAAAATAAGTTCTCAAGGCTTTGGGGCAGAATTCAAATAACATTGAGATAAAACTTCCATTTGGGATAGATTAATGTAAAATCTGTAAGCAGTGATTCTTACAGTACCATATGGTATTATTACGTAATGGTCATCCCTGGAAGGAGTGTACTAATCAGATCAAGCACTGCGATTCTAAATTTAACCCTTGAGGCATTATTCTGAATATTAGTGTGGTCCTTCACTGACAGTTTGAAGTTAAACTTCACTCTGATTTTCTTCAGACATCTCATCTATCCCCTGCTAAATCTGTAAATCTCTCACATCACTCCTAATCAAACACAATCACAATCAGTTTCTCCCTCATAGGAAATAACACAAACCACCTATGGGACCAATGGCATGGTGCATCATTTGTGCCTGTGTATCTAAATGCATGTTTGATTCAACTGCTTGCAGAGCATTTGCATCCATCCACATAACCAGGACTGCAGAAGCCCCCTTGGGCCCCAATCACAACTCATTATATATTCAGAAAACTAAAAGATAGCCCAAAAGCATGTCTTTAATTATGTGTTGCCTTGCTATCTTATGTCTATGTCAGACCTTGATGTTTCTGTGTTGATCTTTCTAAGTGAGCTTCCTGGTTCTTTTTAATGAATTAGCTATGGAAAATCATTGAGATAATTACAGTAATGCATGGAAACACATCATTAGCGCATGCAATTATCCCATTTAC